CTTTGGAACTATCAGTACCGGCCGAGGTACCCTCCTCACATGAACACAAGAATTTCACATGCTGATTCAACACACCCTGATGAGCTTGATGAGGAATTTGACACATTTCCTACGTCACGGAGTTCAGAACTTGTTAGGATGAGGTATGATCGTCTGAGAAGTTTGGCCGGTCGAATTCAGACAGTAGTAGGAGATGTGGCCACGCAAGGGGAGCGAATCCAGGCACTGCTGAGTTGGCGAGACCCACGTGCCACTATACTATTCATTATATTCTGCCTGCTTGCTGCCATTGTGTTGTATGCTACACCTTTTCAAGTGTTTGGTGTCCTGTCTGGCTTTTACGCGATGAGGCATCCCAGGTTCCGCCACAAATTGCCATCAGCACCCCTAAATTTCTTCCGCCGACTTCCAGCTAAGACTGATAGTATGCTATAGGTTTGCTGGTGTTATGTCGAAAGTTTTCTGTGATATTTTCTGAAATCTGAATGTAGTCATTGTCCTCGAGGAAAATTTTGCCTTCCGGCCAAGGAGTTGAACATAGCTCGGGGCCTGAAAAATAAGACCTGGAAACCAAAGAATGGTCTAAAGTTTGATTTGTTTGTATATGTTGTGCAGCAAGTTAGTTGCATTCTCAGCACATTTTACAGCTTTGTCAAGACTCTTGGAATGTAAGATGGATTAGGCAAAGATGCTGAGAACTGCAGTGTTTGTATATCAAATTTGTACTGTTTATTTTCTATGAAGTGCATACTGTCCAGTTGATAGTAACATCTTTTCCTTGGATCTTGATATCATCTGAGATAACATTCATGTTTGACCATTTACCAAAGCAGTGAAATTAAGTACTGTATTTAGGATGAAAGTCCACCAATTCCAACTGGAAAAAAGGATTTTTAACTAAAACAGCCCAGAGATGAGAAAATTCGATGAATTGAAGGCTTATTTTCTATTGTACTGTACTATATTTTCTTTTCCAACAGCTAAATGGGTCAGCATGCATTGAGAAACATCAGTAAGTGATGCATCACTACCATGTTTAACTTCGTCGTGATCTCCACGATTTCAGTAGTAGTATAATTGATATCACAGCAAAATATGATTACTTGTAACAAGATCAATACTAATGGTTGTAGCCTATTACTATGTTATAAGAACATAAATGAATACCGGTTTCCATGTTTGGTCACCAGATGAAACGACATGTTATTCTATTACTGTGCAGAAAAATACAATATTGTTTTCAGCAACTAAGGAATCTAAGACAACAAAATAACCCTCAAGTTTTTATCCTGTTATGTTGTGGTACAATATTGCCTTGCTACAGTAGGAAACATGATTAGGTTTAAGCCGTGGAGGTAAAGTTGCAGAGACTGAAAACTCCAATTTAGATGTCTAACATTTGAATACAATACCAGAGAAAAGAAGACAAAAAAACTGTGGCCGTCGAGGAAAGTAAAGAAATTATTATCACATATGTCCAATTTTACTATAGTCTAATAACTGGAAAAAATATATAAGAACTCCAATAGACCATTTGACTGCTAATTTCCATAAGTGCATACTTAATCATACACAACTAACATTTGAATACAATATCAGAGAAAGGAAGAGGAACAAAAACCATGAAGAACTCTAGAGGGGGAACATCACTTCTGGTGTTGCTGGTTTTTGCTACTCTTACTTATTGCTCAGATGCAAGATTACAGGCTTGTCAGCCGAGTGAAAAAATCAGAGGCATAAAGCCACCTCCAGGACAATGTAATCCCGAAAATGACTCGGATTGTTGCAAACAAGGCAAGATGTACACCACTTACAAATGTTCGCCTCCTGTGACGGGTAATACCAAGGCTGTTTTAACCTTGAATAGCTTCCAAAAGGGTGGAGATGGTGGTGGACCATCGGAATGTGATAACCAATACCATTCTGATGATACTCCAGTCGTTGCCCTTTCAACCGGATGGTACAGTGGAGGAGATAGGTGCCTTAACTATATCACTGTAAGTGCTAATGGCAAAAGCGTGAAGGCTAAAGTTGTAGACGAATGTGACTCTACCATGGGATGTGATGACGAACATGATTATCAGCCTCCGTGCCCGAATAACATTGTTGATGCCTCTAAAGCAGTGTGGGAAGCCTTGGGTATACCTGAAGGTGATTGGGGCGATTATGACATCACATGGTCTGATGCTTAAGTTATAGTATCTATGTTATCGTTGAAATATGATGATTGTGAACATACTCGGATTATGTGTAATATGTGGCATAAATACTACTTAATTCTCATGTTATTGTTCTGATTTTACAGTTAATGAAATTCTGTTCATATCAACTTTTGAACTCATTGAAATATGAGTAAGTTTCATGCCTATGAAAGAGATATGGTCAGTGAAATCTGAAAAACATGACTTGGTTCAGTAGCTAATCTAAACCTACAACAGTTTGACCAAGATCAATCAATCAATCAATCAGTCAACTAGGCTTCAGAACCAATTTAGTTGATCTCAGCTATACAAATCCTGTATATCATTCAATGGTTGCATCAGTTAGACTATTTTTACACTAACTCGTACTTCATCAGTTTGATCCAGCTATACTTTGTAGATGCACAGCGTTATGAATTGGCCTCAAATGGGTAAAAACTGAGCTGCTTTAACTTTTATAATGATGGTCACTTCCTGGCAAAATAATGTGGAATTCAGCACTTCCAGAATGAAGAATTTCATTTAGCGCTAGAGTTGCTTTCAGGGTCCTCTGCTCCTCACATTAGTTGTGTTAACTTATGTTCGTCTTTCGGGAACAATTTGATATTTTGTAGCACTGCTGCCCATACAAATAGTCAAGACGACAACTCGACAAGTCAGTCCCATCCTACGGATAACACCTTCATGACGCTGCAGAGCAGGTCTGGACCGTTTGGTGATGATTTGAGAGAAGGTCACAAACAGGTTTTTGAGGTTGCAGAATCTGTTGCAAGGGGCCTTTCCAATTTTGAATTGGATAACATGATTCAGGATGAATTCAAAATCAATAAGGAGAAGGAGGCCTTCAGTCCAATAAAGATGGTTGCTGCCTCAAAGCTGGCTTGGTGTTCCTGAAAATGAATTGAGCAAGTTGATTATAGTTTCGCCGGATGCATAGAATCTAGAACTTGATTTTTTCATGATGGAGTTCCATCCATTTCATTTACAAAAACATATTTCTTCTATGTATGTGAAGTTATTGGCTACAGTTCTTTGTAATAATTGATTATGATATCAACGACTAAAATTAGTCTTAATCTCCTCTATCATTATTGATGTCTCGGGAAAAGATGATTGTGACAGAATCAAGACTAGCTGATGTAGTATGTTGTACATAAAAGATATACAGATGCTAGAATACAGGTTTTCATGTTTAGCAACAAGATGAACCAATATGATGTTCTATACTGTGCAGAAAATACAAAAGTGCTTTCGGCAACTAAAGAATCGAAGATAATAAAATAACTCATTAAGTTCTTGTCTAATTAGGTACTGGTAGAATGCCTTGCTAGAATAGAAAAAACATGAATAGGCATAAGCCGTGAAGGTAAAGTTGCAGAGACTGAAAACTCCAATTTAGATATCTATTAGTACGAAAAAATAAGCTGCGACTGTCACAGAAAGTAAAGCAGTTATAATCACATATGTATGCTTAATCATAAGAAACCTTTCATGCCTTGAGCAGAATATTGGCATTTTCTGCGACCAAAACACTATATAAACAAGTTAGATCATCTTAGTCTCCACACAACCAACATTTAACAACAAAACCAGAAAAGAGAAGAGGAACAAAAAATATGAGGAAGAACTCTAGCATGGTAACATCACTACTATTGTTACTGGTTTTTGCTACTCTTACTTACTCCTCAGATGCAAGATTACAGGTATGTCATCCGAGTGGAAAAATCAAAGGCATAAAACCGCCTCCAGGACAATGTAACCCCGAAAATGACTCGGATTGTTGCAAACAAGGCAAGATGTACACCACTTACAAATGTTCGCCTCCTGTGACCGGCAACACAAAGGCTGTTTTAACACTAAATAGCTTCCAAAAGGGTGGAGATGGTGGTGGACCATCGGAATGTGATAACCAATACCACTCTGATGACACTCCAGTTGTTGCCCTTTCAACCGGATGGTACAGTGGAGGAGATAGGTGCCTTAACTATATCACCATTAGTGCTAATGGCAAAAGTGTAAAGGCTAAAGTTGTAGACGAATGTGACTCTACCATGGGATGTGATGACGAACACGATTATCAGCCTCCATGCCCGAATAACATTGTTGATGCCTCTAAAGCTGTCTGGGAAGCCTTGGATATACCTGAAGGTGATTGGGGCGATTATGACATTACTTGGTCTGATGCTTAGTGCATCATTATAGTATTTACCTTATTATTCAAATATGATGATTGTGTGCATACTCAGATTATGTAAAATATTTTGCAAAGATACTATCAAATTCTTGTGTTTGTTGTGATGAAACTACAGTTAATGAAATTCTGTTCGTATCAACTTTCTAAGTCATTCCAATATGAAATATCATGCCTATGAAAGAGACATTATTAGTGAAATCTGGAAAACAAGAATTGGTTATGTAGCTTATCCTCTCTCAATCTAAACCTACTACAGTCTGACCAAAATCAAATTAAAACACATGAAATTTTTACTTTGCCAAAGTTATTTACACACCCAGAAAAAAGAAAAGTTATTTACATTAAAAAGTCAACCAACTAAAAACTAGTTATCCCTTTAAAAAGTTTGGTTAGAAAAAAGTTATCTCATAATTAGTTATATCGGGATCAGTTATTTTACATTTCCATGGAAATAACTTATTACGGGATTAATTATACCACAATTTTCTTAAACTTTCTTAAATTTAGTTATGGATTAATTATTCTTTTATCTCTCCTACCAAACGAGTAGGAACTATATTCGGTAACTCACATTAATATTACTCATTTTTATTCCTATTTTATGTACTCCATAGTTTTATATGATAACTAAACAAATCTTTCTTTACCCCTCTGTGTTCTACCATAAACCTACCCACGCACTTCACAAACCCTTCCTCTGCTAAACACCACCTCTCTCTTAAACCCTTGATCTGCTTCAATTAGTCTTGTTTGGATTTTAGGGTATGTTTGGTTGAGAATGACGGAAAAGTCGGAAATAGTAGAAAGCAGCAACGGGGTGAAATTGGACCCTTTGTCTGTTTATGATTTTACTGATGATGATTTACTATGCCTATCATCAGAGAGAAGAGTAGTAGAAATTAGTCCTGATTCTGCTGCGGAATCTTCCATTGACAGAAAAAAAAAACCACACAATGCTACTGAATCTCCAGATAATGCAAGCCCTAATAAATCTGTTGGGCAAATTTCCACTGCAAGAAGAATGACCCGCTCTCAGACGCCTCATAATGGAGCAGCTCAGCCTACTTTGAAGAAATCACTAAAATACCCTAGAGCTGTAAGAGGTAAATTAGTTGGAAAACATGTTAAAAGGAGGAAGCTTGTTAATGCTTCTGGCAAAAATAAGGGTAAATCTGTACAGGCGGATGAAGTTATTGGATCAAAAAAGAGAAAGGTGGATGCTGCACAAAGGGGACAAGCTCCTAGCTCCTCCTCCAATTTGAAGGTATGTATTTTCTCAACCTTTTTCACTGGTTTATTTGTATTTAATGTATTTGTATGTGTATATTGTCTTTGTCTATGTAATTCTTATATGCTGAATGTATATTAATAGTATATATGATGTGTTTGCATAATGTATATTTTACTGTCTACAGCAATATTCATTGTATACACTATATATAGACTTTTTAGGTGCATACACAACTATTACAGTGTATATACTTTGTGTATAGTCAACAGTATTAAGTATACAGGTGCTACTTGGTGAATTTTTTTAACTGTTCACTAACATCAATTGCACTTTTTTGGAATGCAGACTTGGGATTTCTACATTCCACCAAACAAACATTTTCACACGCGTATAAGTTCGCACACAAATTGTGAAGTCGTTAAATTGTTGAAGAGCAAGTTGGATGATAGACAGCTCCAGATCTTCAGGGGAACCATATTCGGGTATTTTCTTGATTTGCCTAATGTAGTTGTACAGAACCAGCTTATACATTCCCTATTGCTCAGGCAGGTGGTCCCAAAAAGAGAGGACGAACTGTGGTTTAAAGTGAACGGGACCAAGTTGCGTTTTGGACTGGCAGAACTAGGGATTATTACTGGTTTGAAATGTTGTGGTGATGCTGATAAGGGCTATGAATCTAGTAGTACCAATAGGTTGATGGATATGTACTTTTCTGGACTTGAAAAAGTACCCAAGCAATCATTGATTGACTGCTTCCTTGAAAAGAGATGGAGGTCGGACGAGGATGCGGTCAAGATTGCTGTGTTGTATTTCATACACACATTCTTGTTCTCAAATGGGTCTAGGGCTAGATTCATCACGAAGGCTGATTTTGATATTGTTGAGAGCGGGGAGTATGAGACATTCCCTTGGGGTATACTTGTATTTAGAGCCATGGTGGATACCATGAACAATAGGTTGCGGACAGGTCTAAAGATGTATAGGCTTGGGGGTTTACCTTTGGCTTTTCAGTGCTGGTTCTATGAGTGCTGTACCTATGTTGATGGCAAGTGGGCTCACCGGATTGACAACAAAGTGCCCCGTATTCTTAATTGGAAAATTCGGAGGCAACCGACCTTGAACGAGTTGTCTAGTGGGATCTTCAAGATGAGCGGGGACAAGGTAAATTGCAAAGTCAATATACATAATCTGTAATATGCAGTATAGTAAATGTATATGCAGTGTATACAGCATGTGAAATAAATGTATATGGTACATATCTTTACTATTCTGTGGGCTGTTTTTCATCTATTTTCATCTACTCATTTAAATTCTTTTCTTTATGTAGTTGAAGTTGAAGAATGTTTCTCCTACGGAGTTTGAGCAAATTCACTTGGATTTGCCTGAATCATCTGGAATTCCAAATGATAAGGAGGTGGATTCGGCTGAGCTTCCTGAAGTTCATCCTAGTGATGATGACTTTAGCACTCCACCTCCTAAAAGAAGCAAAAATCAGCCGAAGACTAAATCGGATCCCCCAGTGAACAATTTGGAGATGAGTGATGAGATCCAACGACTATCTGATGGACAGTCGGAGTTGAAGAGTGATATTCGAAAGGTATGGACAGTTCTGTCTATATTTTAGTGTAACATTTAAGTTTATATACACACAAACGGCTGTTTCATTTTGTTTTTGTTTTGTTTTCTTAGGTCCTTAAAGCAACCGTCTCTCTTAAGGAACAAATGATGGCGTCATTTGCAGATGTCTTTAAAGCAATTGAGTCTTTGTCAAAGAAACAACCAGAAAAGGATGATTCAGAAGTATTGCACATAGAATTGATCCGTTTTTGTTTTTACTGGAGTACACTAATATTCTGTGATGTTTTCAGCATATTATTGTAGTTTATGCTGTTCTTTTTTTCTTTTCATTTTTGACAGATTGATGGAAGAGATGGCCACCATGACAGACATGGTGATGGTGATTCCGGTGGTTTTAACGCTAATGATGACCATGGTAGTGACGGCCCAGATCATGGTAAGGACTCCATCGGTTGCAAGGAGAATAGTGAGGAAGGCAATGTTGAGGCCATGGATGGATGATGATTTGACTTAAGGTAATAAGCAGGTTGAGATTGCAGAATCCGTCACGGAGGACAAGAAAGACAGAGCAGCCTAGTGCAAGCAGCTGTACTGTTTGAGTCCTTGTCCAATTTGGAACTGGCATAAACAGGTTAGGATTTTTCAAATCTATAAGAAGGTCTTGCCTATTCAATCCGCACCAGTGGTGACTATTTCTACTGGATGGTATAATAGACGTGCAGTCAATGAGAGTGACAACGGTGGGGTGTAATGCGGACCCTGGTTGTCGATTGGTCTTCATGTCCAAATAATATGGTTGCTGCTCAAAAGCTGTGTCTGGAAAGCCTTAGGAGTTTCTGCAATTGAATTGGGCAAGGTGATTATAACTTGAACAAGAATTGCTTTTGTGATTTTTTGGTCCCGTCCATTTCGATCACAAAAGCATTTATGCTGTGTTTATATGTAAATTTTATTGGCTTCAGTTTTATGTAATCATAAGATATTCATATCATCAATGAAAATAATCTCTTTGAGATTGTATTAGTACTTTTTTGATGATATTAAAAATTAGCACTTAAAACCTTTAGTATTAAGGTGGAAAGACCTACAATTATTCGTACTGGCAAATAGATTCCTAACTAAAGCAGCATAAGAAGTACCAAAATTCCATGAACTGAAGCCTTATAATTCTATTCTACTGCACTATATTTCCTTTTCCAACAGTCAAATTAAGGAGTATTCATGGAGAAACATTAACTTCAGCGGCGGTATAAATATCACTGGAAAAGGATATTGCAACTAAATAAAGACTAGTTGTTGTAATATGTGACGTTATGCATAAAAGATATACAAATGGCTAGAATACAGGTTATTATGTTTATTGACAAGATGAAACAATTTTGGAAAAATTACACTGTATAGTCGCTCTTAAAATAATAGCCAAAAAAATATTTTTTTTTTATATACATATACATTTCTATATGTTATATACAAAAAATATACAAATTCTATACACCTTTGCTGCTACCGAAGGTAAATAACCATTAATCTTTGCCAACAGTTTTGTTGTTGTATTAATATACAGGGAAAAACAAAATTATTTTCAGCGACTAAAGGGTCCAAGACAATAAAATAACCCATCAAGTTCTTGTCATGATTAGGTTTAAGCCGTGGGGTTAAGGTTGTAGAGAGTGAAAACAACCGTGATGGTCAAGGAAAGTAAAGAACCTAATTAAATATGTTCGATTCTATTACGCCAAATAACGAAGGAACTATGAGAACAGTACTCAACTAGATCGTTTGACTGCTAAACTCCTCGGCTGTATAATTACTTACTAAGAAACCTTTCATGCCTTGAGCAGAATATTGGCGTTTTGTCTGACCATAACACTATATAAACCAGTTAGATCATCTTAGTCTCCACAGAACCAACATTTAACAACAAAACCAGAAAAGAGAAGAGGAACAAAAAACATGAAGAACTCTAGCATGGGAACATCACTTCTATTGTTACTGGTATTTGCCCCACTTACTTACTCCTCAGATGCAAGATTACAGGTATGTCAGCCGAGTGGAAAAATCAGAGGCACAAAGCCACCTCCAGGACAATGTAACCCGGAAAATGACTCAGATTGTTGCAAACAAGGCAAGATGTACACCACTTACAAATGTTCGCCTCCTGTGACCGGCAACACAAAGGCTGTTTTGACACTAAATAGCTTCCAAAAGGGTGGAGATGGTGGTGGACCATCGGAATGTGATAACCAATACCACTCTGATGATACTCCAGTTGTTGCCCTTTCAACCGGATGGTACAGTGGAGGAGATAGGTGCCTTAACTATATCACCATTAGTGCTAATGGCAAAAGTGTGAAGGCTAAAGTGGTAGATGAGTGTGACTCTACCATGGGATGTGATGACGAACACGATTATCAGCCTCCATGCCCGAATAACATCATTGATGCCTCTAAAGCAGTGTGGGAAGCTTTGGGTATACCTGAAGGTGATTGGGGCGATTATGACATCACATGGTCTGATGCTTAGTGCATCATAATCATATGAGAAATTGATTAAGTTTTCACAAGAAAGTATTTGTGCCTTAGCGCATCCATTTCTTGTTTGTTAGCGCTTATGGTATGGTTTGAGTATGATGATTGTGTGCATACTCCTAGTATTTGTAATATGTGGTATAGATACTACTGTATTCTCATGTTTATTGTTGTGAAATGAAAGTGAAATTAAATATTGTTCATATTTACTTTTCAAGTGATAGTAAAATGCTAGTTTTATTACAAGGAATGCTAACATGTTGAGACAAACATGGTTAGTGAAATCTGAAAAGCAGGACTTGGTTCATAAGCAAATCTGGACCAACTACAGTTTGATCTCAAATGGTTTAAATTAAATATAAGCTGCTGTAACTTTTAAAATGATGCTCACTTCCTGGAAAGGGAAGAAAAAGCAAATTGTTGCTTTAAACATAATATTGTGGAATTTAGTACTTCCATGACTGCAGTTTCATTTGGCTCCACTGCTTTGAACATAACATTTCAGGGTCCTCTGCCTCTCTCTTTACTTGTGTTATTGTATCATCTTCTTTGGTAAACAATTTGATAGAGTACTATATTCTACTAGAACTGACGGAAACCAAAAAATTATTTGCCATTCAACTAAAAAGGTAAGAGTTTACTGGAAGGATATGAAAAACCTGAACCATTGGAATAACTCAAAAAGAATTGAAGGAATTTCAATAGTAAAACTTGGTTTAAGGGGGTCTAAGAGCTCTATTTGATGTGTCTCATCCCTCAAACGTTCTTTTGCAAATAAGTTCAAATCCTAGTTGGAAAGATTTTATAGCTATGCTTCTCTAACATAGCTACTAAAGCCCTTTTCTTTTTAGTTTCTAAACTAGCAGGATCGCGATTCATGAGACATCAATAGTGTAAAATTGATCCGTTGATCAATAAAGGGATCTTGCAGTCAGAAGATAGGATCTGAATTCTGAAACTACTGGTCTTCAGAATTTTGTGACTGAGGCATGAGTTTATGCCATCTTTTGCCTGTATCCCATTGTTTACAACATTTTCATACTGATGAAAAAGGACAGAATAGTAAACTAAATTAGAGCAGTTGGTTCCAAAACACAGCTTTGATGAGGACGTTATTTCATTCAGATGACAAAATAAAACGAGGCGTGTCTTTGTGAAGGCAAAATTAGATTCTTAATAATACTAGATTGAAAGCTGATTTTGAAGAATTTATGCACAGGAGATCATTTGCACTTGTTCTGAGCCAAGAAAATGAGAAAATATTTTTGGGGAGATGTTTCGCGAAAATTAAGTCATTTTTTAGTGTTTGGTTCTAGAAATATCTTCTGGGAAGACATTTTTCACCAAGTCCTCATTTTTCTTCACAATTATCTCTACTCTTAATTTATTTTACTGTTTCAATCATTATTATCAATCTTTTAATATATGTTTGCTGATACTTTTATCAATATTTAATATATGTTTTTTTTTAGAAAATATTTTCCGCTCTCCAACCAAATAACAGAAACATTAAAATGACTTCTACCATACCAAACACATCCAACTCTTTCGGAGTTTTCGGACATAATGAGTTCTGCAAATGAAACCAAGTGACAGAAGATAAGAGATAGAAACAGACTGATTGATGTACCTATTAATTCCAAAACAGAGCGTCGTGACTGCCAAGGAATGCAGAATAATTGTTTTAAGATATCCCAACTGGTGATGTTAGCTTTATAAACTCCTGTTAGTGGATTATGTACTAATCAATTTGTCTAACTCATCCATAATTATAAAAGAACTTTCAAATGGATTGAGCACAGTTTTGGCATTTTATTTGATCAATGTTATATAAACAAACTAGAATGCCTTACTCTTCACTCATAACCAACATTTGGAAATAATACCAGAGAAGAAAAGTAGAGATAAACTCTAGCATGGGAACATCACTTCTATTGTTACTGGTATTTGCCACTCTTACTTACTCCTCTGATGCAAGATTGCAGGGTTGTCAGCCGAGTGGCAAAATCAAAGGCATAAAACCGCCTCCAGGACAATGTAACCCCGAAAATGACTCGGATTGTTGCAAACAAGGCAAGATGTACACCACTTACAAATGTTCGCCTCCTGTGACGGGTAATACCAAGGCTGTTTTAACCTTGAATAGCTTCCAAAAGGGTGGAGATGGTGGTGGACCATCGGAATGTGATAACCAATACCACTCTGATGATACTCCAGTCGTTGCCCTTTCAACCGGATGGTACAGTGGAGGAGATAGGTGCCTTAACTATATCACTGTAAGTGCTAATGGCAAAAGTGTGAAGGCCAAAGTAGTAGATGAGTGTGACTCTACCATGGGATGTGATGACGAACACGATTATCAGCCTCCATGCCCGAATAACATTGTTGATGCCTCTAAAGCAGTCTGGGAAGCCTTGGATATACCTGAAGGCGACTGGGGCGAGTATGACATTACATGGTCCGAAGCTTAGTGCAGCAGTAAAGTATTTATGGTATCCTTCAATATCATGTGCATACTCAGACAGATCATGTGTAATATGTGGCATAGACGATACTATTAAGATTTCATGTTTGTTGTGAAATTACAGTTAGTGAAAGTTCTGCTCATATCGACTTCTGAAGTCATAGTAATATGAAGTTTCCTTTCTATGAAAGACATATGATTAGTGAAATCTGAAAAAAGAGGACTTGCATTAGCTAATCAAAACCTATAAGGGTTACAACAGTTTGACCAAGATCACTCGATCAATGTACTAGGCAATAGGCATTAGTCTCAAGTTAGTTGGTCGGCTATATTAATCTCTCTCTTATATCCTTCAAGCTTGCATCAGTTAGAGTTTATTTCAACAGGATGGTATAATAAAGGTGCAACATAACATTACCATTATTGCTAGAGGTTGATGTATAGAAGCTTTTTTTGTCAATAAAAGTGACAAACGTGGGGTGTAATGCAGTCCCAGGTTGTCGGCCTCCAGGTCCAATAAATATGTTTACTCTCCAAAGCTGTTTGTAAAGCCTTAAGAGTTCCTGAAAATGAATTAGGCAAGTCGATTATAATTTGGTCCAATGCATAGAATCTAGAACTTGCTGTTGTAAATTTGTAGTTCAATCTATTTCATTTACATAAGCATTTCTATATGTGTTTGCAAATTTTATCGGTTACAGTTCTTTTCGGTCATTAATTTTGATATCAACAATGAAAATAAGTTCTTGATCATTTCATGTGTTCAGATGAGAAATAGCATCCTTACAATGAACTAATATTGTCACAATATACAAGAGGAGGGTCCACTATTCTAACAATTTGGACTAAAGGTATTGGGTTTGGCCGGACATGTATTATGCATTCTAGATCGGCCCCTGCTAACAGACCCACTTATTATGAAAGCAGTGACGACAAAAGTATTCAGGTGGAAAATCCTCCAACGAATCAATTGGCTAAAAAGATTTCTAACAGCACACAGAACTATCAAAATTGGAAGGATTGAAAGTTTATTTTCTATTCTACTGCACGATATATTCTAACAGGCAAACTGAGTTGTATGCATGGAGAAACATTAAACGATAGGTTACCATTTTTAAATCAGTCTTAATCTCCCCTATCATAATTGATGTCACGGGAAAAGATGATTATAACAAAATCAAGATTCGACTTGTTTTAGTCTGTTACGTCATACATAAAAGATATACAGAAGCTACAATACAGGTTTCATGTTTGGCAACCAGATGAAAGTTGAAACAATCTGTTGTTCTGTTAATTACTACACAGATTAATACAAAATAGTTTTCAGCAACTAAAGGGTCCGAGAAAAGAGAATAACAAATCAAGTTTTTGTCATATTAGGTTGTTACGTTTAAGCCATGGATGTAAAGTTGAAAAGATAGAAAATTCTTATAAAGATATTGTTGAGGTTTTTGTTATTTAAGATGAAATAGTCTTAAAATGAGGGTAAATGGGAAATGAAAGGAAAAATAAAATTTTTGAGTAAAATTTTAAGTTTCCCCCTCTTGACAATGAGACATTGTCCTATATTAGAAGAGGAAAAGATTTTTGGTGGGTATATATATAATTGCTTCTTGTAGCTCTTAAAGAGTTAAGAAGAAAGCAAGTCTCGCGCCGTCGTCGTCGCTCGCTCTGCTCGGCTTCGGATTTCCATACGATTTTTTGAGTTTCTACTCCTTTGTTCTGCATTGTATGATTCGTTCTATCCTGGGAGGAAATAATTCATAACCTTGGGTACTAGGAGGGGATTAAATTCTTTAAGGAAACACTGTGAATTCAGTGGGCTTGAATTAATTACTGTTTCATTACGATAACTTATATTTCCCAAAATTATTATTTACAAATACAGCAATATTGGCGGGACTAACAAATATCAACTTGTAGAAAACACTGTGAATTCAGTGGGCTCGAATTAATTACTGTTTCATTACGATAACTTATATTTCCCAAAATTATTATTTACAAATACAGCAATATTGGCGGGACTAACAAATAGAAAACAAAGGCCGTGACCGTCAGGGAAAGTAAAGAAGTTATAATCAACTGTGTCTAAGTAACATAAAGGAACTATTTAAAAACAAAGGTTCTCCACCAGACCATTTGACTGCTAAAATCAATAATTTTATACTTAATTAAAAGAAACTTTTCATGCCTTGAGCTGAAAATTGGCATTTTGTCTGACCAAAATACTATATAAACCAGTTAGATCATCCCAGTCTCCACAAAACCAACATTTGAAAACAAAACCAGACAAGACACCAGGACTAAACCATGATGAACTCTAGCTCGCTTCTGGTGTTGCTAATCTTTGCCACTTTTACTTACTGCTTAGATGCGAGATTACAGGTATGTCAGCCGAGTGGAAAAATCATAGGCATAAAGCCACCTCCAGGACAATGTAACCCGGAAAATGACTCAGATTGTTGCAAACAAGGCAAGATGTACACCACTTACAAATGTTCGCCTCCTGTGACCGGCAACACAAAGGCTGTTTTGACACTAAATAGCTTCCAAAAGGGTGGAGATGGTGGTGGACCATCGGAATGTGATAACCAATACCATTCTGATGATACTCCAGTCGTTGCCCTTTCAACCGGATGGTACAGTGGAGGAGATAGGTGCCTTAACTATATCACTGTAAGTGCTAATGGCAAAAGCGTGAAGGCTAAAGTTGTAGACGAATGTGACTCTACCATGGGATGTGATGACGAACATGATTATCAGCCTCCATGCCCGAATAACATTGTTGATGCCTCTAAAGCAGTGTGGGAAGCCTTGGATATACCTGAAGGTGATTGGGGCGATTATGACATTACATGGTCTGATGCTTAGTGCGTATTACTAGCAGAACAGTACCACATGTATGATGATGTGAATATCTGAATTATCTCTATTATGTGCATTTAAATCTATTGAAGTGCTGTACTCTCTTGCGACGTGAGATAGCAAACTTGTATCTATTTGCATGTTATATTGTTTTCTATTGAATGGTTAGAGACAGATTTCAAACTCAGGCAGACATATCAGTCCAATGAAATCAAGAAATAATAAAAGTATGTCTTCCACCACAAGATCAAGAAAAAATTCGCCAATTTCATGGAACAGTCTGTTTCTAGAAGACAACCCACAATATGTTACACACGCTGGCGGAAGCCTCCAGCATGAATTGAACTACTACTAAAGTAGAAAGGCAGATTCAAGTTAAACTGCAAAAAAAACTCCTATATCACTACAATCTATGGTGCTGCTGATGGTTATAAGAACATGTCTCATGTCAAGGTGGTAGGACTGGAGAAATCAGAACATAATATATACAGTGCTCACTCATCTACCTACATATGAAGTAGTCATCCTCGCATCAAATCAATGTCAATATGGCCTGTTTGTAGATCCATCTGCCTTGAACTAGGCCATACTCCCATTGAAGAGGATGGTGTAAGATTCTGGTTCGATAGAGCATCAGCTGGATTTACAGAATCGCCAGTAGTTTGAAGATCTGAAGTTCCTGCGCTTTGTACACTTTCTGCAGCTCTTTTCTTTGCCTTCGAACTTGAGCATAAAAAGCTTCCCACTATTACCTGAAGTCATTCACTTTCAATTTCAGGATTTGAACAGGTAAGTGATAAGTCAAGGGTCTGAATTCGCCACAAGATAAGAAGGCTTAGCCTCCATGTCATCAAGCGAGCAAGCAGTTTAATAGGAAAAAACCAATTTCGTCATGATCTAGAGATGATAACACAATTATATACAATATCTAAAACAAGTCAAACACTTTTGAGATTCAAAGGTGCATGTGGGTTAGAATGGAAGCAACCTTATTTAGTTTCTTACTAATTTCCAAATGACTTCATCATAGTATCACGAAGATAGCCAAAAACCTAATGATTTCTGTTCAAAGACATCAAATGGAGATCTCGTTAAGATGAAAGGCATTGAAAATAATACCTGAATCGGACTTGCTGCAATTAGAAGACCACCAACTCCACCACCTATCACGCGACCATCTGGATTAGCAAGAGTAACACTAAGGCTACCAATCCTACCCCGAGATCCACCACTATCGCTGACCAAGAAAGAGCCCGATAGACATAATATCTCAAACCGTCCCTGTATGGGATAAGAACATTTGCTTGGAAATTTATTTTTGCAGAAAAAAGATGGAGAATGAGAAGGTAAATGAGGTAATATGCAATAATATACTTAAATCAGTACTTAACACAATTATAATCAGTACAAAAGTTCTGGCATCTGCAATCAATAGCTACGGATAAGTACGATCAGTTTCCTCACTAGTGCAATTTAAATGTCAAACCAAGAAAAAGTGAGTAGTGAATTAAAACATTTATACATAAGAATTAAGCAAACAACCATGAAGTCTAGGCCACAAAATTTCTTAATCTATGAGTTAAAAATTCTCCAATTGGGTATTAAGGACATAGGCAATTAGCTCTCAAAGTTATTTCAGGGTTAATAACATATCCAGGTAACATTAACAGTTTTATTTCCTATTCATTAGCAAACAACTCAATTTCACCTTTGCATCTCAAGCAAAGATAAAAACTTCCTGCAGATCAGTCTGAACTATAGACATTTATGCTCTCCATTTAGGAGATATCAATTTACTGTTATAAGCTTGAAAAATTATATTTTTGGAATTTAATGTTAGTCTTCAGACCTCATATGTAACAGTGCCACCAGAAGTTGATGGCTGACGAAGAGTTACAGTGGAGATGACACCATTTGCTGATAAAATACATATTGATCTAGGCCCTTGTTGCGAAAATGACATTATTTTTGTTGTGATGTCCTGCAGGAAAGCCGCAAATGAACCACTCATTAATATTGTTAGTGCCAGAAATTAAATTAAAATAGAAAAGGAACTGAATGGCTGAAAGAGCACTAATTATGGTAAGCCACAAGCAGTTTTTCCAATTGAAGTTATAACAATATTCTACTGTGCTCAAGCGT